TCCCGTGTGTCAGCTAGCGGTGTACACTGTCTACGCAGGGACATGCACACCGTACACGAAGGTGTTCCTGAGAGTTGATACACGCCTCAGTATGAGCATGCCCTTATGTGAACGTGTGGGACTCGGACGTACCATTCGGCATAGGACGTGAAGTCGACGAGGATCTGCCATACTTTGTCTATGGGCGCGTCAATAACGGACGATGCGCTGATCATCAGTGGACCCTGGAAAGACGGAGACGGTAGATTTGACATGAGAAGAATATACGCTCCTTGTAAAAGAACACTGCCGCGGTGAGCAGTATCAGGTGAAGGTCAAACTCAAACTCAGATCGTCAAACTCTCAGCGTCCTCGTTGCATCATTGATCGAGACCACATCAAGATCGGACCCACACGCGTGCCTTTCCCGGTATCCCTTAATCCCATATCAAAATCTTCTACAGGACGGGAACGATCCTCTTCGAAAATGTGTTGATCTCCGCATCTGGAGAGTGTTGCATTACCACTGCCTCCACCGTAACCAAGTTTAGCGAGTGAGAGTACTTTCCGGGAAGTGAAGAAACCACCCAGTTTGAGACCCGTGAGACACGCGTCGGGAAACGTGCGGCCAACGGCACAATTGCGTCCATCAGGTACTGCTCCAAGTTCTGACCGAGCTGTCAAAGTTCGTCCGAGACCCAAAGCGAGAACGATCAACAAAGATATATCGCGTTTGTCTGAGCTCTGTCAAACGCGTAAGGAACATACAGGATGGCTCGCGCACAGTCTGACAGGTACTACAAACAATGCCAAATACGGTGGCATGCGCTCGCCACAATCTCAAGTTCCAACACGAGCAACTCAAGTTTCTGAGTTAGAGATTACTGCGTCTCTCGTTGCTGATAAGTAACGAGTTGAGCCATGAAGGCAGACCCTTATATCACTAGAACATTCCGATAGCATGCGTCTTGCTATGAATAAGTCTAAAACACACTCCGATCAACCAAGCATTTATTGTGATATGACGAAGAATTACTCAGTAGGAGCAAGATGTAGTATATGTGACAGAATGCGAGAAAAATGCATGCGGATCGAGTCCTAAAGTACGACCTAAGGGGGTTTGTAAATAATTCAAGCGGTCCTGTCCTGGAGTGAGAGACGAGACAAAATGGATCGGTGCCTCTATCATAGCGCAGCCTGATTCAAAATCGTCTTCAAGCTTATTTGCGCTTCGGCTTTGACTTCAACTTGTCCTTGGCCTTGGAGGTAGTTGGATCCCTAGAGACTGTTTCTGAGGACGAACTGGAAGTAGGACTCATGGAGTCTTGAGATCGGTTATTTCCTTCCCGTCGCGTGACCTGTCGTCCAAAGTCAGGCTTACTCATAGGTCCCATGAGCACAAGGTCGTCATCCAGTTGATCACCATTCGAGGCTTCTTCGATCATGATTCGTTTTCCGATCGCCTTCGATACAGGAGAGCCTACCAAGGCAAGCACCTGCACCTCACGAGCTGTGTAGTCATGCAGCGGAAGGGCGATTGCTGCCCGTGGGTCAACATCGAGGGCACCCACCTCGATATCCTCGACCTTAGTGTATTGCAGGGCGTCCCCTATGCGACGCATGAACAAAGCAGCAACATTAACCGCGACAGTGTGATCAATCATAGCCATGGATGTGGCGTCGAACTCCACTTTTCTGTAGCGCGCCTCTAGCTGCTCCCGCATCTGCTTCAGGGTACTTGCTATTCGCCGAACAGCCCCATGAGGGTACTCTTAACGAGGTAGAGCGAGAGTCTAATGCGCGCTCAGTCAGAGCTTCAGGTGTGTATTGCAACAACTCTATAACTGTACCTAATGCGCGCTCGGTCACTTTACAGAATGTCAGCGTAGGCACAGTGTGCTAAAAGACAGGACAAGACTTACAAGCTTCAGGTGTGTATTGCAACAACTGAAGCTCGTCTCAGAAGGCGACATGTATATATATACGGGAGCACGGTGAGGTATCATATCTATGGCATCAGGCTAATCTATTATTTCCGGGAAAGAGGTCAGGTCAGGGGCGCCAGGGGCGCGACCACGTCACGCCGATCCCGACACAATAGCACGATATTGTGTTTGCGCGCATCCATGCGGGACAAACAGATGTGCTTGCCAGTCAACCATCAACAGGTACACCTTTGAGTGGAACATTGAGTAGCCGGGCACAAGTTCAATAGCATGATCGTATGGCTTCCTTTTGGGTAGTCGTTCTGATGATTCCTCGGAGAAGACTTTCAAGAACTCGTGGTACTGCTCCAGCACTGACTCTGTCACAAGTTGACACAGCATCTAGCTGTTTTTTAACTTTTCCTTTCTGCAGGCTCGAACCCGCGACCTCTGTACTACATGCTCAGACGGGCAAAGTCCTTATCTACTGTACAATTAGATTAGATGGGACGGCAGTGCATGGCACAGCTCGGGCTCCGCTGACACAGCCGCTCTGACTCACCAGCCCCCAGGGCTGCGTCAGCATGCTGCACACGGACCAGCTGCGCACGGACCAGCGTGCACAGCCTGCCCTTATCTTCCCCATTATATAAGCCAGCCTCTGCTGCCCTGGGGACCTCAGTTTCGACCTCTTGTCCCTAGGTCAGTAAGCTCCTGTATCCTCTTACTTACCTTACACTAACTAATACATTTCTTGTCCCTAGCCTTAGGTTTGAGCCTCGCTCACCATCGCTTCAGTGAGAACCAGTCAAACACCCCCCATGTCACGAGTTGACACGGCGTCTAGCCGTTTTTTAATTT